TCCCCCACACTCCCCCTGTGCCATTTTCGGGGTCTCCTAAAACGGGCTGGTGTTTTCCCTTTTTTTGTCTAGGGGGGGCCCCAGTTTAAAGGGCCTCCCTTTGTTTGTCCCGGGCCCCGGTTAATCTCCATGGGCCCCGTACCGCCCCCCTTCATGCTGCGGGCCAGGTCCAAAGTTTCTCATGGGCCCCTGTACGGCCCCCCTTTGTGCTGTCTCCACCCGCCACACTCTGCCATGGGGCCATTTTCGGGGGTCTCCTCAACTGCGGGGGTTTTGTTCCTTTTTTTGTTCATTGGGTGCTGGCAGATTACGGGTCCTCCCATTGCTTGCTGCCAGGGCCCGTAATCTGGGCATGCGGGCCCCCGTACCGATCCTCATGCTCGCTGCAGGTCCAGAGTCTTCATGGGTCACCTGTACGGCCCTTTCCTATTGCTGCTGTCGCCATCGCCCACCACCTCTGCCAGGTGCCACTTTCAGGGTCTCCTCACATGCTGGGTGTGTTCCATTTTTGTCATTAGGGTGGCTGGTCAGGATTACGGGCCTCCCATTGCTGCTGCCAGGCATATGTAATCTGCCATGGGCCCCCTGTACCGCCTCCTCATGCTGGCTGCCCGGTCCAGAGTGTGTCATGGGTCCCTGTACGGCCTCCCATTGCTGCTGTTCCATCGCCACACTCTGCCATGTGCCACTTTCAGGTCTCCTCACACTGCTGGTGTGTTTCCATTTTGTCTTAGGGTGCTGGAGATTACGGGCCTCCCATTGCTGCTTGCCAGGCCCGTAATCTGACATGGGCCCCTAGTACCGCCTCCTCATGCTGCTGCCAGGTCCAGAGTCTCTCAATGGGTCCCTGTACGGCCTCCCATTGCTGCTGTCTCCATGCCACATACTCTGCCATGTGCACTTTCAGGTCTCCTCACACTGCTGGTGCTGCCAGGTCCAGAGTGTCTCATGGGTCCCTGTACGGCCTCCCATTGCTGCTGTCTCCATCGCCACACTCTGCCATGTGCCACTTTCAGGTCTCTCTCACACTGCTGGTGTGTTCCATTTTTTGTCATAGGGTGCTGGCAGATTACGGGCCTCCCATTGCTGCTGCCAGGCCCGTAATCTGCCATGGGCCCCTATGTACCGCCTCCTCATGCTGCTGCCAGGTCCAGAGTCTCTCATGGGTCCCTGTACGGCCTCCCATTGCTGCTGTCTCCATCGCCACACTCTGCCATGTGCCACTTTCAGGTCTCCTCACACTGCTGGTGTGTTCCATTTTGTCATAGGGTGCTGGCAGATTACGGGCCTCCCATTGCTGCTGCCAGGCCCGTAATCTGCCATGGGCCCCAGTACCGCCTCTCATGCTGCTGCCAGGTCCAGAGTTCTCTCATGGGTCCCTGTACGGCCTCCCATTGCTGCTGTCTCCATCGCCACACTCTGCCATGTGCCACTTTCAGGTCTCCTCACACTGCTGGTGTGTTCCATTTTTTGTCATAGGGTGCTGGCAGATTACGGGCTCCCATTGCTGCTGCCAGGCCCGTAATCTGCCATGGGCCCCTGTACCGCCTCCTCATGCTGCTGCCAGGTCCAGAGTGTCTCATGGGTCCCTGTACGGCCTCCCATTGCTGCTGTCTCCATCGCCACACTCTGCCATGTGCCACTTTCAGGTCTCCTCACACTGCTGGTGTGTTCCATTTTTTGTCATAGGGTGCTGGCAGATTACGGGCCTCCCATTGCTGCTGCCAGGCCCGTAATCTGCCATGGGCCCCCGTACCGCCTCCTCATGCTGCTGCCAGGTCCAGAGTCTCTCATGGGTCCCTGTACGGCCTCCCATTGCTGCTGTCTCCATCGCCACACTCTGCCATGTGCCACTTTCAGGTCTCCTCACATTGCTGGTGTGTTCCATTTTGTCATAGGGTGCTGGCAGATTACGGGCCTCCATTGCTGCTGCCAGGCCCCGTAATCTGCCATGGGCCCCAGTACCGCCTCTCCTCATGCTGCTGCCAGGTCCAGAGTCTCTCATGGGTCCCTGTACGGCCTCCCATTGCTGCTGTCTCCATCGCCACACTCTGCCATGTGCCACTTTCAGGTCTCCTCACACTGCTGGTGTGTTCCATTTTTTGTCATAGGGTGCTGGCAGATTACGGGCCTCCCATTGCTGCTGCCAGGCCCGTAATCTGCCATGGGCCCCTGTACCGCCTCCTCATGCTGCTGCCAGGTTCAGAGTCTCTCATGGGTCCCTGTACGGCCTCCCATTGCTGCTGTCTCCATCGCCACACTCTGCCATGTGCCACTTTCAGGTCTCCTCACACTGCTGGTGTGTTCCATTTTTTGTCATAGGGTGCTGGCAGATTACGGGCCTCCCATTGCTGCTGCCAGGCCCGTAATCTGCCATGGGCCCCTCAGTACCGCCTCCTCATGCTGCTGCCAGGTCCAGAGTCTCTCATGGGTCCCTGTACGGCCTCCCATTGCTGCTGTCTCCATCGCCACACTCTGCCATGTGCCACTTTCAGGTCTCCTCACACTGCTGGTGTGTTCCATTTTGTCATAGGGTGCTGGCAGATTACGGGCCTCCCATTGCTGCTGCCAGGCCCGTAATCTGCCATGGGCCCCTGTACCGCCTCCTCATGCTGCTGCCAGTCCAGAGTCTCTCATGGGTCCCTGTACGGCCTCCCATTGCTGCTGTCTCCATCGCCACACTCTGCCATGTGCCACTTTCAGGTCTCCTCACACTGCTGGTGTGTTCCATTTTGTCATAGGGTGCTGGCAGATTACGGGCCTCCCATTGCTGCTGCCAGGCCCGTAATCTGCCATGGGCCCCTGTACCGCCTCCTCATGCTGCTGCCAGGTCCACAGTGTCTCATGGGTCCCTGTACGGCCTCCCATTGCTGCTGTCTCCATCGCCACACTCTGCCATGTGCCACTTTCAGGTCTCCTCACACTGCTGGTGTGTTCCATTTTTTTCATAGGGTGCTGGCAGATTACGGGCCTCCCATTGCTGCTGCCAGGCCCGTAATCTGCCATGGGCCCCCGTACCGACTCCTCATGCTGTGACGTTGCAACAAGGTGGAATTCAACCCTACATATGTTAGACCGCCTTTACGAACAGCGAAAGGCCATCACAGATTTCCTGATGTTACAAGCGGATAAAGGTACTCCCCTGTGTAACTTAGATGTCAGCCATTGGCAGCTCATGCGTGACACCTGCCGCTTGCTCAGGCCCTTTGAGGAGGCCACGCTATTCGTGAGTCGGCAGGACTATGGGATGAACGACGTCATTCCTCTGTTGCACGTCCTGGAACAAATGCTGTTAACAATGGCTGGTCAGGGTGCGGTAGACGTGGCGCACAGATCTCAACGCCACATGACCCTGTGGGGGCAGGACAGGAAGAAGAGGAGGAGGTAGAGGAGGACATTGGTGCTCAGGAATTATTGAGTGAAATGGGTGGTTTTTCCACTCAGCGGACAGGAGTGGAGGAGCAGGAGCATCTGGTAGAGGAGGAGGAGGAGGAGACAGAGGACCCAGACGCACCGTGGCAGTATGCTGTGGAGATGGAGGCAGGGAGTCCCTCGCATTCCTTGGCACAAATGGCCCATAGCATGCTCGGTTGCTTGCGTAGCGACACAGCCGAATAATAACCATCAGACAGAGGGATGACTTTTGGCTGTCCACCTTGTTGGACCCTCGCTACCGTTCAAAAATGGTGGCCTTTTTCACACCTGCTGAGAGGGAGGCCAAAAAAAACGTACTATAAAAACCACCTATGTAGTCAGTTGGTCTCTGCCTTTCTGCGCCAACGTCCATCCTCAGACACTGTGGGCCCTGTGCGCTCGCGTTCCGCTGCCATGGCAGCAGGGGAGGGGTGGGGTGGTAGGAGCAGTGGCAGCTCCACCAGCAGCGGCTGCCTCAGTCTGCAGTCGATGATGAGTAGCTTTCTTCACCAGCGCAGTGAGGAAACTACTAACCAGCCGCAGCAGCAGCAGCATCAGGTGGACCTGGAGCAGGACCTCAAACAACAGGCTTGGGCCTACTTGGACAGCACCCTGCCAACCGAGGTAGACAATCCCCTTGACTACTGGGCAACGAAACTTGACCTTTGGCCCCAACTAGCTGAATTTGCCCTTGAAAGGCTGTCATGCCCGGCCAGTAGCGTGGCATCGGAGCGCGTTTTTTAGTGCGGCAGGAGGTATTGTAACTCCGCGTAGGACACGACTGTCCACCCAAAGTGTGGAGAGACTCACGTTTGTGAAAATGAATCAGGCATGGATTAGTCTGGATTTCAAACCACCAGTTCCTGACACAACTGACTAAATCCGCCATGAATCATGCCCCAAAACATGTGCCACTTTCAGGTCTCCTCACACTGCTGGTGTGTTCCATTTTTTGTCATAGGGTGCTGGCAGATTACGGGCCTCCCATTGCTGCTGCCAGGCCCGTAATCTGCCATGGGCCCCCGTACCGCCTCCTCATGCTGCTGCCAGGTCCAGAGTGTGTCATGGGTCCCTGTACGGCCTCCCATTGCTGCTGTCTCCATCGCCACACTCTGCCATGTGCCACTTTCAGGTCTCCTCACACTGCTGGTGTGTTCCATTTTGTCAGGCCCCGTAATCATAGGGTGCTGGCAGATTACGGGCCTCCCATTGCTGCTGCCAGGCCCGTAAATCTGCCATGGGCCCCTGTACCGCCTCCTAATGCTGCTGCCAGTTCCAGAGTGTGTCATGGGTCCCTGTACGGCCTCCCATTGCTGCTGTCTCCATCGCCACACTCTGCCATGTGCCACTTTCAGGTCTCCTCACACTGCTGGTGGGTTCCATTTTTGTCATAGGGTGCTGTATGGCCTCCCATTGCTGCTGCCTCCCACCGCCACACTGTGGCTCCACACTCTGGTTTTGGCCCCGTGACTGCCCAAATGAGTGAAGTGTGTGCGGTGATTCTAAGATCGACGGCACTCATCTGCATGTCATACTGACTGACAGTATTATTTCTCTTCCCCAGCAGACTCCAAGGGCATTTAAAAATAAAGGTACAGTGTTCTGCACTAATATGAAGGCTCTCTGAAGCCTAGAAACACCCATTTATAAGTTAAATTCGCAGCGAATATATTCGCATCGAATCGAATTTATTCCTCGAATTCGCCGAATCAGCCGAATCGAATTTTTGAATACTTCGCTCATCTCTAATGGTAATGAAAAATGATTTTTGGTCTGTTTAACTACTCCTTTGCTTACATAAGAAGAGAGGTGACAAGCTATTTACAGATTCAGCTTCGAGTGTCAACCTCTTCCAGCCTGCTTGTTGCAAAATTAATCAGCATTGTCCCTCTGTTGATTCACTATTCATTGAGAAAACAGGTAACACAATACACTAAAGCTGAACCAGAAAACAGTGGAGTAATATTCCTGCTATGCAGCATATGAACAAGACTGGTTGAACAGAGTTACAGATCATTTGCCTGGTTAAACAATTTACATAAGGCTCTGAGTTGCCTTTTTAGCTGTTAGTTTTGAGTTTCTTATTAAATGCATACCCTGCTCAAAAATAAAAACATACTTCTGGTTAGGACATGAACTTAATAAGCTTTGAAATTGATGCCTACCTCTGTAACTCTATTTTTCCCATTCACCTTTGAAAAGCTTTTATGTTTGCTGATTTGGTCTATAAGTTCTCTGTTTTTCAAAGGAGCATGTTCAAAACCAGTGATGCTTTGCGTAGCATGGCTTTCTTACACTGTAGTAGTCCAAAAATATGGTGGTTCACATGGATTTAAAATAAAATAAATATAAAGTAAACATTCCAGATCATTTTGCATTCAGATTTATATAAGACAGATTTTAACTTAATTATAAATAAAGTAGCTGACAATTTCATACTGCTCACTCAGGTGCCTATAGCATAATTATTGACACTGGAATATTGCCGCTGTATTATACCAAAATAGTAAGGTTAAAAGCTCTCATTCATTAGAACTTTCACTCAAATATCTGTTTTTTGTGATGTCACTGCATATGATTGCATGAAGTATCTCTCGGATCTCATGGATGCATAGTAAACCTGTTGAAACCTTGCCCAA